GAATTTTGCGTAAGGAAAGTTAGTGAATCAATCTTTAACTACTTTTATTATATATTAAATTCATCCAAATTATTGTTCTATTTTAATTTCTACACTTAAATATTTCCTTACATGAATAAAGTTGATTACTTTTAATTTACCTATTTAGTACAACTATTATATTAAACAATTATAAACTCAAGTATTTGTAGAATCGATAATTTAAACTTTTTTCTTTTTATTATTACGTCAATTGATATATCAGTCAAATGCCTATAACATTTCAAACATGAAGTTTATACGATTGTAGGTGATTCAATAATAGCCAAACAACAAATGGCTCGATAGGCCAAAAGAATAATTTTACATTTAAAGTATAAAAATCTAAAATTAATATAATATAAAATATGATGATATAAAAAAATTATAAACTAATATAAATAACCAAATTATATCTTATAAAAAATATTAAAAATAATAAAGAAGATAATTTATTATAATTTATAATTTTTTATTATATTTATTTATTTATTTATCATAAAATATTTTAAATAATTTTAAAAAAAACTTCAAAAAAAAATCGGTTCAATTTGATTTTCTAAACTTATTTTAATCGATTTTTATTAATTTTAAACCGATTCATGTGATTTTTTTACCTGTTCTTTCACTCTCCATTTATATGATTCTTTTATACAAAAGACTAATTGGTCAAACTGATGGATCCGATGTATATCAAAATATAAGAACATAGGAAGGGATAGACCCTTTTTTTTCCCTCTTTGTGGGCCCCACAATAGACAGGTGGTACAAGTTGAATGACTATCCCCTGGCCACAAAATATCCAAGCATGCAATTGCCTCCAATGATTCTGTATTCATCAAGTTTTTAATCAGCAACAGTCTCATAGTTACCTCCAATTGACCCTCTAAGTGTCAAAAAGAAGTTTCATATGTCACAAGCTACTGTCACAAATGATGACTCCACTTTTTCCATAGGTACACTGAACACAATTCTTTATCTCATACTACACGGCTTATGGGCTCATACACCTTCCTCTTTCTTATCTTTCATTACTCATGTTTTAAAAATTCAAAAAAAATTTAAAACTCCTAAAATTTAAATTATTTAAATTTTTTTTATCATTCTTTAAATATTTGATTTAGAGATGTCAACCTAAAATTTTTAAATTTTAAATTCTTAATTTAAATATAATAATTTAATTTTTATCATGATAAATATGATTATATATATATATA